TAGTATATTAGTATATTATATACATATCTATCTATCTATATATATATATATATAAATATATATATATATATATATATTTATATATATATATATATATTGAACATTCATTTGTAGCACACTGTGCTACCGTCACACCCAGAATTGCACTCAGTTTTGCCGTGTCGTGCTGTTTCAGTTTGTGAGCTGCAGAGATACTCGTAGTCATACAACAGCGTACCTGGCGCGTGTTTGTGTCAGGCGAAGTACACTGTCACGGGCAGGGGTTCATTTGGTTGTTCACTTCATTTCACTATCCACTCGAAGGGCCTCAACAGTTGCGTGCTGATATGTGTGCAACGGAATATATGCTATCCCTCCATGTCGCATTTGAATGTTGTGCATAGTCTGAATAAGAACTCTTATTCTTACGACCATTCCACGGCTGCATTGTTTGGTCTCAACGGTTCACTGCAACAGTAGATAGTAGTAGATGATGGTAGTTGATAGTGTATAATAGTGTATAGTGGTGTATATTAGTGTATAATAGTAGACAGTAGTAGTTGATAGAAAACGACAGTAAATAATAGTGTATAATAGTGTATAATAGTAAATAGTAGATGACAGTATATACTAGTGTATAATAGTGTATATTAGTAAATAATAGTGTATAATAGCGTATAATAGTAAATAGTAGATGACAGTATATACTAGTGTATAATAGTGTATAATAGTAAATAGTAGATGACAGTATATACTAGTGTATAATAGTGTATAATAGTGTATAATAGTAAATAGTAAATGACAGTATATACCAGTGTATAATTGTAAATTGTTGTAGGTGATATGTCCCTTGATAAGTTCATATGACCCCCCCCCCTCCCCTGCGCCTGTGCTGACTCATCGTTGCTGTATTCATACAGGGGTTTAGTGTGTGCACGTGGATGTTCTGGAGCGGCGTGTTCCACCGAGGAGCTGTGGATGAAATCAGGATATGGAATTACACCAAAACCCAGGTAAGCTAGCGGCTTTTGGGGGCTATTTGATAGCGACTGTGGCGGATATAAATGGGCTTATCTTTTTACAGAATACGGATGCA